TTAAAAAAAAAAAGAACAGTTTTTAGAAAAAGAATCGTGTTTCATTTTCTCTACAATTGGAGGCAGAAGTAATGTATATAATCCACAACAATGGTAAAGTATTGAACATCCAGCCTGAATTCATGAGATTTAAGAGTGAGCCTCCTTTCAGTGTCCCTAGCTATAGGGCGATTTAAAAAAAAGTTGAATATATCACGTCATAAGTGTGTGTGAGAATAATGAGATGTCGCATAAAATGCTTTGTCAACTGCAAAGTCTCTCACAAGTATAAATTATTATTTAAGGGTATTGAAACAGTATTTTCAAGGAAATAGCTTTCCTTTCTATATTTACTATTATTTTTTTTAAGTTTATTTATTTTGAGCGAGAGAGAGAGAGAGAGAGAGAGAGAGAACAAGTTGGGGAAGGGCAGAGAGAGAGAGGGAGAGAGAGAATCCCAAGCAGGCTCCACACTGTCTGTGCAGAGCCCAGTGCGTGGCTGGAACTCAGGAACCACAAAATCATCACCTGAGCTAAAGTCAGATGCTTAACTGACTGAGCCACCCAAGTGCCCCATTATGTTTTAATTGAAGTTTAGTCGACATACAATACTATATTGATTTCAGGTGTACAACTTAGTGTTTTGACCATTGTATGCATTACAAAATGTTCACATTTAAGTGTGGTTATCATGTCATCATGCAAAATTATTAAAATATTATTGACAATATTCCCGATGCTGTACTTTTCATCCCTGCGACTTACTTAGTTTGTAACTAGAAGTTTGAATCTCTTAATCCCCTTCGCCTATTTCACCCATCCCCCACACCCCTCCCCTGTGGTGATCACTAGTTCTCTGTACATGTTCATGAGTGTATTTTTGGTTTTGGTCTATTTTGTTTTTTGGATTCCACATAGAAGTGAAATCATGTGGTATTTCTGTTTGTCTGATTTATTTCACTTAGCATAACGCCCTCTAGGTCCATCAGTGTTGTCACAGATGTCGCATTCTTTTTTATGGCTGAGTAGTATTCCATTGTATATATTATACCACATCTTCTTTACCCATTCATTCATTGAGGGACACTTAGGTAGCTTTCATATCTTGGCTGTTGTAAATAATGCTGCGATAAATGTAGGATGCATATATCTTTCCAAATTAGTGTTTTTGTTTTCTTTGAGTAAAGGAGCCCATAATAGTGGAATTAGTGAATTTTGAATGGTAGTTCTATTTTTAATTTTTTGGGAAACCTCCACACTGTTTTTCACAGTGTCTGTACCAATTTACATTTCCGCCAACAGTGCACAAGGGTTCTCTTTTGTCACATCCTTGCCAACACTTACTTCTTTCCTTTCGGATTCTAGCCATTCTGACAGGTGTGAGTTAATATCTCACAGTGGTTTTGATTTGCATTTCCCTGATGATGAGTGACGTTGAACATCTTTTCATGTGTCTGTTGGCCATCTGTATGTCTTCTCTGGAAAAATGCCTACTCAGATCCTCTGCCCATTTTTAAATTGGATTATTTGTGTATTTTCTGGTGTTGAGTTGTATGAATTCTTCATATATTTTGGATATTAACTCCTTATGAGATACATGATTTGCAAATATTTTGTCCCATTCAGTAGGTTGCCTTTTGTTTTTGTTGATGGTTTCCTTTGCTCTGCGAGAGCTTTTTAGTTTGATGTCATCCCAAGAGTTTGTTTTTACTTTTGTGTCCTTTGTCCTTTCTCTGCTTTTTATTACAAGAACACAGCATTTTAGCCAGTTAGCCAATAGGTTAAACTGGCATTCCAGTTCAGGTTAAAAATTTATTCATTTTGTATCTCTATAGGGAAATATATCCTAATTTTAAACTTCTTTAAGGGCGTCTTTGGAGCTATCAAGGGAGAAGGATTTTGAAGTATGGATAACTTGCATGCAGATAATTGAGAACTGACCAATTTATAATTATAGGATTTTCTAGGGGGAAAAAAAAAAACTAACCATGATATTTATTTGCAGATTCCCACTCTATACATATTTATTTTTAACTTTGTAATTTTCCTTCTGCAGAAACGCTGGGTGGTGTGGATACCATTGTCAAGATCCCCCCACACTTGCTGAGGTAAGGAGACCGGAGTTGTATAATATAGTGAAAGTAAAAATCTCCTACTGGGTTTCCCTGAAGGCCCAGATAATCTTACTGGCTTATAGCCTTTTACTTGTGGACCAATGGCTTTTTTACATCCATGAAATGGGATAGATCATGAGGTTAGCATGATGGGGACCTGATTGTGGTGATTTCTAGGTATCTGTGGAATGAGTGAAGTCAGTAATCTGAAAGAAACAGCTGAGGAAGTGAGATGAAAGGATAAAATTGGTCAAGGAGAAAAATGACTAACACCTCAATAAGAATGTAGCCAGTGGACAAAGTCTTTGACCGTAGATCGGGAAATGGCACCCCCACTGGGGAGAAGCAGCCCTACACCCTGTGGGGTTGATCTAACTCCCACCAGCCCCTTGGCTGAACACTATCTCACAAACTCTGGCCACCTACAACAGCCCTGAGATGGTGAGTCTATTTTCCCCACCTTCCGGGCAATTCCCCATCATCCTTTAACAATGAGAGAAATGCCCTCTGTGGGAGATTTGGAAAGAACAAATAAGAAAGTTGCCCATAATTACACTACCTAAAGGTAGCCGCTAAAAACAGTTTAATAGATTTTCTTAACAGACTTTTTCCTACATATACATGTTTTTATAAGTTAATATGAAATTTTAATTATGTTTGTTTCCTGCTTGTTTCTTCAGCCCATATCATATGAAGAACATTTTCTAATGTCAATATATGTTCTTCAAATTAAAATATTGTATATTCTTCCATTATATGGCTGGTCTAACATTTATTTAATAAGTTTCTTTTAAGTTTACTTATTTATTTTGAGAGAGTGAGAGAGAGTGCACAAGTGGGGGGAGGG